GGCGGATTAAAAACGCATTTATATAACATACTTATTATTATCAATATTATTTGAAAAATAGGTATAATTTAAGAACTAAAAAATTTATTTTGTTTGAATTCAAATAAATCAACTTTGATACTCATAAACTTTCCGATTTAAGAAAAGCTGTTGCTTCATTTATGAGATCCGTATACTTACATACCACTTCGTTAGTTTTTTTAAAATCGTTGGCCTCCAAAGCTTCATTTAAAGAAGGAAATACTTGTGAACCATACCTATAAAGTATTAAATAAAGGTCCGATAATAAAAATTTAATTTACCCAGCCCAAAGTCCTGGCGCATAGACAAAGTGCTTATAGAATTCTCTTCCCTCGATACCTTGGTAACTGAATTAACAAATGATCTTTTATTTATATTCATGTTACCTTTTTGATCAAGCATTTTGCGTTCCAAATAAATCATCTTATTATTGACCCAATTTAATTCATTAATGCATATGTTATTATCTTTTTGACATCCTTCTTTTTTATCGGTACTTAATTTATTATTTAATAAAGCTGCTTTATCATCAATCTTTTTGCACTCAGTAGTAAACTCAGATACTGCCTTACGAAAAGCAAGTAAATTAAGTTTATTTTTTGCTTCTTCCTTAAGGCTTTGGTCCACCTTATCAATATACTCCGTTAATTTTGATCCATAATGAGCGAGGTGAAAGGAAACGAGTGGCTTATCAGCCAAAGTGATCAATAATTTTCCTACAATTTGAGTCATTGCAAGATATATTTTGAACCCTGGGTCACCAAACTTATCTACAAAATGAAACGAATCGTAGTTAGAATGATACACCCCGGAGCCGATTTTTGAATAAAATTTAAGGTCCAAAGAGGAGATACCGAGATGCTGGTAAAATGGAGTGTAATCACTACCTGATCCCAATCCTTGTAATTCTGTTTTCCCTTTAGTGTCCTTATACCAAGAGTCATAGATAGTACCATTACCATGAGGATCTTTGACTTGTGCAGTAATATTTTTAACTAATTTCAGTAAACTAGGGGTACCACTAGGAGAAAACTGAGTACCTTCAAAAGCATCGACATTGATATAAACAATGGCTTCTTTACTTAATTTTTTAGAGAAGTCTTCTACCCATTCGGTTGATCCAATCAATCCATACTCCTCTGCATCCCAGCTACACAGTTTAATAGTTCTTTTTGGTCGCCACCCACCTTTTAATAATGAACCAAGTGTACGTGCTACTTCTAACATCATACTACTGCCAGATCCTGGATCATTAGCTCCATATACCCAACCATCTCGGTGGTTGCCTACAATTATTTGTTTATTTCTTTCTTTCTCTCCCGGAATGGTAGCAATTACGTTGTATATAGTTTGTATACCGCCATCTACAATATTGATTAAATTAACCTTAGCTCTAGATGGTCCAGTCCAATAACTAACCTTTAAACCACCTGTCCAATCAGACCCCAATTTATCAACTTGTTTACCCTCACTTACTAAAGCTTTTAATAAAGGTAAAGCATCTCCATATGAGATTGGTAAAGATGGGATTTTGGGTAGAATTTTGGATTTTTCTAATGAAATACGCTTGGCATCCTTCGTAGCAGCAACTCCAGGTGTCAGCGGGTCTCCAGGTGATAAGCTAAGGTAACTTACAGTACCCCTTTGTACCCCACTGCTTGGGCGGTAAGGCCCCTTTGGATACACATCACCTAAGTTTTCACCATCATCCAAAGGATCTGAGTATATGAGCACACCAACCGCACCATTGAGCTCAGCAGCGCGTAATTTGAGGCCACGAAAGCATTTACCATATCGAACCAAAGCGATCTTCCCTTTTACAGTTACATTGTTTGATTTGAGTACTTTAAAATCCTCCCATGTACCATAATTAGCATACACTAATTCAGCAGTTACATTACCATTTGCTGATAACCCATGAAAAGTTGGTACTGCATTTGGGTCAAGGGAGGTGGGATCTTCATCTATTACGTCTTCAACTAGTTTGGCTTCATATTTTAAGGCTGGTGGGGAAACGATTGCTAATCGACGTTTGGAAGGGTAGTTTAAGTAAGGATAATATTTGACGATCTCGGTTTTAAGGCCGTAAGACTGTAGTTTTTTGGCGTACCACTCAGCAAGTGACTTGCCTTTACCAGCAATATGTACGCTTTGAGTGATGTACTTCAAATGTGAGCGAAGGGAGTCAGAATTCGGTATGCTATCAAAGCCTTTAAGCGGGTCTATATATTGGCCGAGAGCTTGAGCTTGAGATTGATGTGGTGTACTATCAATTATTGAGGCATTCATAGCTGCTGAGGAACAAAGTAGTACAAAAGCTATGGCCAGTGATGGTAAAATATGAAGGAACTTTTGACTTAAAACAAATGGGAGTTTAGCTTGTGAAAAGGGCGATAAAGTTTTCCTTTCAACTTTGTTGGGAATATCATCTCCATCGTTGCCAGCCATCGGTTGGTAACTGTTTAAAGGCTGAGTAATTAGTTTTAAGTTGAGCATATTTTAAACTAAAGACTGTGAACTTTTTTTTGGCTTTTATATCTTAATAATTAGCTTATTTTAGTTTTTTTATACGCTGATGACGCATGTAATACGATCTGACCTAAGTCAAGTTAAGTCATTTGGTTACTAGTTTCTTCCTGATTACAAGATTAAAATACAGTAATTAAATTTATTTAGTAAATGATTGATGGGGTTTATTACATATATGCCGAGGTTTAGATTTAATCCAAGGTCAGCTTGTTGAGGTAATGCATTCAAAGCTGTTGCATGACTTAGAAAGTAATGTAATTTTACTTTTAAACTCTTTTAGATTGGTTGTGAAGTTTTCGTTTCTCCTCATTAACTAAAAATTAGATAAAATCTTATTCTTGTGCTTTATGATTTAATACAGTTGTAAACAAAACTGAGTAAGTGATATAAAAATTTTAATAATTAAGAAGTTTAAAAGATACTATATAAGGGGATGTATTTCTTTATTTAAGAATTTTATTAACAATCTTTCCACTCAAATAGCGCTTAAAAAATGGAAAGATTGTTAGTAAAATTCAAACAAGAAAATATATCTCTATAGCTTTTTTTTACTATTTTTTCGCTTTTTATTCAACATAAAATCGAAAGAAATCATAAGATACTGAAATGAAAAAACTTTTATTAGGGGATGTCCAAATTGGTTTCATTTCTACCCAATTTTTAAATATTCTAAGTTTTAAGACTTAACAAATCCTTTATTAAAAACCAAAAGTGTTCGACATAGTTTTAAATTACTTTATTATAATTTATATCATAAGTTAGCCGAAATTCTAGGATTAATAAGGCTTTTACTAATATAACCTATATATTCATATTAATCAAAGTTGTAGTGTATAAATATACATTCCTATAAAACTTTATTGTGAGATGTTTATTATTGACTACTTTATACCCAACATCGCAGATTTACTATCAAATAAATAAACAATTTTAATTTTATAATTACATTATTAATATATTACTGAATTAATGAATAGCTGGATAGGAGGAAGTGATTAGTCCCAAAACTATACTTAACCATCCTTATATGATACAAGCAATATAATAATAGTAATTTTTATTTGTTACTGTAACTATTTATTTTTCATTATTCATTAACTTGGCTATTGGTAACTTAAATGGTGTTAGTATACAATAATTAGTTTATATTATTTAATAAACTATTCACTTGTTTATTAAATGTTGAAACTTTTAAATTATCTCATTTTTGTAAGGTAAACTGGGGTTAATCTTTTAATTTTTCTATACTTTTATAGACTTTATAACTTTAATTAGAATCTTTCTATCAATCAGATATTTAATAGTAATATAGTTTATTATTATGTTTAATAAAATGTAACTATTTTTTAATACTTTGTATCTTTATCGTTTTTTATGTTTATATTTTTATGTTTTTTTTGTATCTTTAAAATTGTATCTATTTTTTGTTATTAATAGTTAAGTTCTTAACTTTACTATTCTCAAAAATAAAATCCCAAATTTTGAAACTAGTTAATTGTTATTTTTTATTTTATTTAATGCTTCAAAACTACTTTTCTACTATAAAAGATTTGTAAGATGCTTATTGACTATATTTTTTTATAATGTTCAACAAAAAAATTAAAGTCAATTTTTAAAATATTATTTATTTTGTAAGTTTTTTTTACACATATAATATAAAAACTTTTGAGATTTAAAATAGTTTTTTGTATCTGCCTATATGTCAATTTTTATAAACTTTTTAAACAAAAGCTTTCATGAAATCTGGTGCTCAGTGGCTGGAGTTGAAAGGAGTTTTCAGTTGATTGACTAGCCGTAAGTCAAAAGGTCTTAGTTTGTGTAGCTAAGATAGACTTGAATTGTGAAGAATAGCACGTAATAGGCTACGGACTATGTAAGGCAAATAAAGTAGACAATACTACTATGAAATCTCCATAATTACTATTAAAAAGCCTTGAGTTACTATGTTCTGAAATCTCTTTTATACACCAACAAGTATCGATATCAAAATGGGGAGATAATGTCCTTTAGAATTACATAGTAGGAATTCTCATATTAAATCAAAATAGAAGCTTGAGATTGATTTTTATGTTATAATCAATCATAGGGCTGACAAAGTGATATTTTACACTTTTATGCAGCTATTTATTTAATAGAAGGCTTTCAGTGTTGGATACAAAGCAATTAGTAATGAACATTTTTAATAAAATTTTATAAAAATACATATTTATATACTACAACTCTGATTAATATAAATATATAGGTTATATTAGTAAAAGCCTTGTTAATCTGGGAATTTCTATTAAATTTGATATTTTAAAGTATCAAATTAAAACTAGATATTTGAATTATTTTTGGTAAAGCTAAGAGACTTTAGCTTTTATTAAAAGATTGTATATTTAAAACCATTTAAATAAGTATTTTTAAATATGATAATAATTTAAAGTGCAGTTATTAGATCAAGTAAAAAAAGGACCCACCGAGAATCGAACTCGGATTACAAGGATCAAAACCTTGGGTGCTAACCATTACACCATGAATCCGTTTGCGAGGGAAATCCAATTTAAAATATCATCATGTATTTTTGTGTTTTTGAATTTTTACTAACAATTTTTCCGCTTAAATAGTGCTAAAAAATGGAAAAAGTAATGAAACCAAAAAAACATCCCCATATATTGAACTTGTCTATTATTCTAAGATTAACCAAAATTTTGCTAATAATAAACTAGATATTTATACTTTTCACAATTACATATAGGAGTATTTTTCTTGACTTCACTTTTTCCATCTTGTAAGTGCTATTTGTGTGGAAAATTTGTTAGCAAAATCCTTAAATAAAAATATATATCGTCCATATTTAATTTTGAATTTGAAAATATATAGAAATATTAAATCATTTTGTAAATAAATGTTTTTCGAAAAAAGATAACAATAGTAAAAATTTTAATATTATCTTTTTTATTTTTATGTAGCTTTTATTTTTTACTATAAAAAATATTTACTATTACAACCAATAACATCATTTTATCAAAAGCTAAAGCTTAAAGATAATTACGAGTTTTAATTTTATTTTTTTACAAAAGCAATATATGTTTAATACTTTAATTAGCATATGGGGATGTATTTTTTTGTTTAAGAATTTTACTAACAATCTTTCTGCTCAAATAGCGCTTAAAAAGTGGAAAAGTAATGAAACCAAAAAAAACACTCCCATATGGAGTTATTGTTATTATCAATAGTTAACTTCAAACATAAATTCAACAATTTTGCACCATAAGTAATTTGTTCTATTTATATAAACTGTAAATAAAACTTTTATAATATTTAATACAGGAATGTTCTTTTAAGAAATTTGTTATTTTTTCAGTTTAGTAGTGTTTAGAAAATGTAAAAATCATTAAACCAAAAGAGATTTCCTCCATATAGATTTACACATACTGACATAGAATTTAGTGGCCGCGTTTAAGTATGAAATTTGAGAAAATACTGCTTATAGCGTAACACTTGTATATAGTTTCTACTTAGATATCTTTCGATCTATGAAGATCCAAAATATGAGGATATTTTTTTAGTTTTATTACTTTTCTATTTTTTAAGCACTATTTGAGTGAAAAGATTGTTAGGACAATTCTTAAACAAAAAAATACATTCCGATATAGTGTTTTGAGATAGAAATAAAATAGCTCTACAAATACAGTGTAATTTCAAAGGTATTATAGGGTTTGTACCATAGTAAAAGAGTCAATGTAAATACAATTATGGAGGGGAATTGGTATATATTCCTTTTTTTAAATAAGGGGCATCCTTGAATTGTATATAAAATAGGCAGTTTAATATGGATTTCATAGAAAAAAGGTTTCCTAAGGAATTTTATAAGGAAGCTTTTTGTGTCTATCTGTTCATGTAGGAATTAATATAAAATTTTATATTATCATTAGACAGTTGCAATCATTTTATAACTCCTTTTGACCTATTTTGGAAGATGCAGCTTGTTTAAATTAAATCTTAAGAACAAGAATAGATTAACTTTTTACTATATGATTTATTTATAGTTTAGAAGAACAATTAGATAGGAGTTATTACAATACCCATCATCTATTTTATTGTTCAAAATAAAAATTTAACTCATTGAAATTTATCAACTCCATTTTTATCTTGTGATCGATATCAAGCTTGATTTACTATTTTAAGCCTTTTTTAAACTCGCGAATTTAAGGTACAAATCACTTTGAGATATAGAATAGAATAATAATGTTACTACTCGAATAGAGGTGAAGTTGGAGACTTATTAGAGCAACAGAGATAAAGAAAGTATATAGTTAAAACATTATGTAAGCTATAACAATATTAATAGTATCTGTCATTATGTATTATATTGGGTTATTATAATCATATTCTAGATTTTTATATATATACTCCTTAAACTAAGTGGTACTTTTAAATTTATGTTTGATAGTAGCTTACTTGGTATTCGACGTAAGCAATTGTATAATACATATAATTACTAGTAATCTCAAGACTATAAAAGGCTAAAATAGGAAAATAATATTTTATAAAGTATGATCTAATTCAAGAATAAACAAGGTAAAGTTAACCATATAAATAATTAGGAATGAACCCTTATTGAATACAAAAAAGTTTTTTTATTAAATCCTTTAATAGCTTTCAATAATATAATATAACATTCATTGTTTTTTACAAATATTATATCTATTAAATGTTAAAAATAAATAACAACTATTTATTGATAAGAGTTTAAGTTGCATAAAATTGTAAACGGTGGAATTATAAGTTTAACGGAGTAAATGCTTTAAAAATTATTTTTAGCATTTAATTAAAACCAAAAAAATCCATAAAATGATTAAAGCGTATAACTTATTTTAAAAGACTAAGAATAGATTAAATAATCATATTTATCCTTGATATTGAATTAAAACATAATTTGCTCTCCTTTTTGGGATTATTAGAAATAGCTAGCAATGAACCTTTAATATCCAATGGATAATCAAATAGCTGGTAAAGCAACCCTCATAATTGGTTAATATTTTATCATTATAAAACGTCACAAAAGATATTAACAGGAATCTGATAAAAAAAGGTAATTATGTCAATAAAAGGAGGTTGACTAACAGAGGAGCCGATTTGAATCATAGTTCACCCTTTAAAGAATATCCTTAAAGCAAAACATATAAATATACTTCAATAGTATTAAATATGATTATTTATTTTTGTACAATAAGACAAATGGAAGTTAAAGTTAACAAGACGTTTACTAAAATTAAAAAAGAAATAAAAACCCCAACCCTGGTATTACAAGAGCTAAAGCCACCCAGAACTAGAACTAAAAGATGTGCTAAAAGAGCCTGTGACTATTGTCAAAGGAGAAAGATACGCTGTGATAATGAATCTTATCAAGGTAAATGTTCAGCTTGTACTAAAAAAAATTATGAATGTACTTTTAATAATAAAATGAAACGAAATCAAATTAAATGTACTTCCGATTCTAATACCACTAGTAATTCTCCTACACCAAGCGTTGAAAATGAAATTAAACAATTAGTGCCTCTTTCAACATGTCCTCAATTCCCAACCAGTTTAAAACAATGCCGGGAAGTAAATTATTATAAATTAAATATGAATTGTAACGAAGATAGCTTATTCAAACAAGCAGGACATTGTGGTTTTTATTTAAACTGGCAAAAGAATTTATTAGCAAACATGTATTATTTTATACCATCTGAGTACTATAATCATAAGAATATCCTTTTAAACATTGGTTCGCTAAATGAGCGACAAGCTGATTGGTATTTTGATTGTTTAAATGGAACTCTAGGCTTCTTTATTGTTATTCATTTTGGTACTGATAACAGTGAGAGTCAAAACAATTTGGAAAGTAGCATTAATCATTATTGTGATGCAACTATGATGATTCCAAGGATTGATTCAACTTGGCCAAGTGAATTGGTTGATTTAGGTTATACCTTACTTAATCAATGTTATAATTGGTCAAATATGCTTTTAAGCTTACAATCACTTAATTGACTATTATTTTATATTACTTTTTAATAAAATTATTTATTTGTATTTAATTGAAATGTTTGATAAAAATACATTTATGTTCTATATATCATGTTAAAGTACTATATAGAAAGACAGGAACGTTTTTATATAAATATTGATGAAAACTTTAGAAAAACAAACTAAAAGTTGCTATTTTTGGTTCTCCAAATTACTAGCCATAAAGCTATTGGCTAAAACTAAACGCGTATTTTTAGTATCCACACTCTTCTTTGGGAGGAGTAGTTAATGACTGGTGGAAAGGTTTTATAGATGAATTGAAAAAGCTACAAAGAAGAGTTATGTCAAAAGGCTTTAAGATATATAAAAGATGGTACTATTAATTAAGTATTTACCTTTTAAAATAATTTAGGCTCTAAGGATAAACGCGAATTTTTGAAATTTAAATGAGAGTAAACAGGATTTCAATTTGCTGAAATTGAAAATTGAGTTTAAAACTAAAATGAACAAAATCAGTAGTTTTATTTTCCGACAAATAGCTCAGTAATCTCGTGAATACAACTACTATAGTCTTGCTTGTTGATCTTTGGATTTTATGGTTGACTCTTTAAATTTAATGCGAAATAAAAGTTACTTTTACGTGAAGTAATTATGGAAATCTCTATTAACCTAATCAAGTTAAAGTAACTTCTATTTCGAACTAAACTAGTAAAAGCACTAAAAACGCAAATATTAGCAAACAAGGTTGTATTATTAGTATTTCAAATATTAAATTTATTAAATTTAATTTAAGTTTAATTTGAGTCTATTAAAGAATTGTTGAAGGATTCTCTGAAATTATTAAGAATATGAAAAAAGTAACCCGAGTTATAATGCTTTTTAGTGAATTTACTTATTATAATCATATTTGTTATAGGATATAACTATGATTTACAGAATAGAAACAATTAATACAAAAGCTAGTTGTAGCAGTGAATTTTAATATATATTCTTTTATATTGCTAAATACCAAGCGATTAAAATCATAAGTATTATCTTACATTACCATTTATAGTGACATCCCCCTTTAGCGCTAAGTAATATGTTATAATCTATGATGGTTCAAATAAGTATTAATATTATCATATTATATCACTATAAGAATTATATCTGTTGTTTAAATTAAATAGACGAGGTATAACAATACTGTAGTCTAGATTATTAAATAATTTCATATATTAATGATATAGAATAAGATTGACTTTTAATGGCTGTAAGGAATCTAAAACATTTAGCGAACTTTATTAGTTTATAGTGATGATTTAATATTATTCATAAACTAAAATTAGCACCCGGAGATATATTAAATAGTTTTATATTTAATTGTGGTCATCCTTTAATTACTAGCATTTAATAGTAACATTTAATATGCTTTTCATGATAAATTGCAGTTAAATAGTTAACTTTTTATATTTAAAGGTAGGATCGAAGAGTTTAACTTCTATATAGAAGTAAGTTGATCGGGTCAATTCTGTAGCAATTTATT